CAACCTTCCGCCTCAGCCTTCCAAGTAGCTGGAACTACAGGCGCGCGCTACCACACCTGGCTAATTTTTGATTTATTGTAGAGATGAGGTCTCGCCAAGTTGCCCAGGTGGGTCTTGAACCCACGGGCTCAGGCAATCCACTCACCTCAGCCTCCCATATCTGGTCTGCTTTCAGTGGACAGCAGGGTTGGTTCCATGTTTTAGCTATTGTGAATAGTGCTGCAATAAACATGCATGTGCAGGTATCTTTTTTGTTGAATGATTTGAGTTCCTCCAGGTATATTCCCAGGAGGGGGATTGCTGGGTCGTATGGAAGGTCAGTTTCTAGTTCTCTTAAGAATCACCACACTGTTTTCCATAGAAATAGAACAAGTTTGCACTCCCACCAACAGTGTAGAAGCATTTCTTTTTCTCTGCATCCTCGCCAGCATCTGTTGTTTTTTGATTTATTAATGATGGCCATCCTGATGAGTTAGGTGGCATCTCAGTGTGGTTTTGATTTGCATAAAATTCTCATTTCTTTCTTTTCTTTTCTTTTTTGAGTTGGAGTCTTACTCCGTCGCCCAGACTGGAGTGCAGTGGCCGCTACCGGCCACCGCAGCCTCAACCCGCTGGGCACCAGCGATCCTTCCAGGGAGCCGGAACTACAGGCGTGTGCTACTACACCTGGCTGATTTTTGATTTATTGTAGAGATGAGGTCTCGCCAAATTGCACAAGGGGGTCTCGAGCCCACGGGCTCAGGCAATCCACTCACCGCAGCCTCCCAAAGCACAGGATTACAGGCTGAGCCACCAAGCCCGGCTTCTTTTTTTTTTTTTTTGAGTCAGAGACTCACTCTGTTGCCCAGGCTGGAGTGCAATGGCATGCTCACAGCCACCCCAGTGTCATCCTGCTGGGCTCAGGCAATCCTTCCGCCTCAGCCTTCCAAGTAGCCAGAACTATAGGCTCGTGCTACCACGCCCAGCTAATTTTTTGATATATTGTAGAGACCTCTTGGGCTCTGGCGATCCTTCTGCCTCAGCCTTCCAAGTAGCTGGAACTATAGGCACGCGCTACCACACCTGGCTAATTTTTTGATTTATTGTAGAGATGAGGTCTCGCCTGCCCAGGTGGGTCTCAAACCTGCGGGCTCAGGCAATCCACTCACCTCAGCCTCCCAAAGGTGTGGGATTACAGGCTGAGCCCCCGAGCCTGGCTGTGGCTAATTTTTTATTTATTATAGAGACAAGGTCTCTCCAAGGTGCGTGGCTGGTCTCAAACCGGCGGGCTCAGACAATCCACTTGCCTCGGCCTCCCAAAGTGCTGGGGTTATAGGCTGAGCCACCAGGCCTGGCCTCAAAATGCTCATTTTTAATGGAATTTTGATTAGTATGATTGTAAGCATCTCTTTCTTGTGATTTCGCCCTTTTAGGCTGGGTCAGTGCACGTAAGAATTCGACGAGATGCAGATGAACAAATGGTTCTTGCTCATGTGACCAACAGACTATATACTCTGGTGTCTACTCTGACTGTTCAGATTTTCAAGGATGACTGGATCAGACCTGCCTTGATGTCTGGGCCTGTTGCCGCCAATGTCCTCAACTTTCCAGATCATCACATCATCCCAATGCCTCTCATGAAGGGGACTGATGATTTGAACCCTGTGACATCAACTCCAGCTAAGCCTGGTAGTCCACCTCCAGAATTTGCATTTAACGCACCTGGAAAAAATGTGAGCCCAGTTATTCTTCTAAACACACAGACAAGGCCTTATGGTTTGGGTCTTAATCACGGACAGACACCTTATAGCAGCATGTTTAATCAAGGACTTGGATTTCCAGGAACTGGAGCATCCCAGGGTTTCAGAACTGGTTTTACAAGTATACCGAGTAGATATGGAACTAACAGTAGAATTGGACAGCCAGGACCGTGATGTACTCTAACTTATTTTATGAGGAATATTTCCTTGGCTTCCAGTTTATTTAGAAATCCAACTTTGCATTGATTGTTCAATCAATCACTCTAAATTTTAGCAAATAATAAGCTTGTTCACATTTCATGAAACCTATGAAACTATATTTTTGTAAAATGTATTTGTGGCAGTGAAATCCTTATAAATGTTGTAGGCTTTAAATAGGCTTCCTTTAGAAAACATGTTTCTCTCTATTTGAATTTGTTGCTATCTTTGGTTTATGATTGACCATAGTGTGATGTGATCTTCCCTTTATAAGAAAGCTACTTGATGGAGTGGGTCTGTCACATTACTAAGAAGACACAGTTTTCTTCAGTGAAACTTATAAACATGATTCTTGGATAATAATACATTTTAGGAAAGGAAAAAAATGTCCATTCGAAAAGTAAAAGTTGTTCTTCTAGCTTTTCCAGGCTTAATTGCTGCATTTTTCTTTGAGGCTTTCCTGAATTATAGCTTGCAAATCAAGAGCAAAAATTTTTTTATCAGAAATTTTGGAACACCTTCTACTATCTAGTACAATTTACATATTTTAATTATCAGGATTTTTGTTAAAGTTTTTCTCATCTAAAAATTTCAGTACATTTGTAAATAGTCCATGGTTCTAGGTGTTTTATTTTGATTAAATGAACACCCAGCCTCTGATGAGATGCAGCAAAAGAATCCCAATCTTTTGTGTTATATTCAGTCAATACTGACATGATAATGGGATTTATCTTTCCTGTCACATTTTTATTAACTTTTTAATATCTCATTTGATTAACAAAATATATGCTACCAAAACATATGGAATTCCATACATAATATGGAATTTGCTGTTTTTTCAAAGTTGCACAAAGTGTTTGCATATATAATAATTTTTCCAAAACACCATGGACCTTAGATTAATACAATGTTGTTAAGTCTGCAGAAGGCAGTCTCTAACTTTTTTGTTTTGCTTTGTCAGAAATAGTGAATTGTTCACTGTGATGACGAGTGAGAATCATGTTGATTATTTTATTTTTTGGCTGTTTTCCAAATGCAGATTGTAAGGACTTTCTTGCATGGCCAGTATTACTTCCAAAAGTGTAATAAGCATCAGTCACACATGACCCATGAGTGATTCCTTTGTTATTTGCTTATGAGCTGTATAATTAGAGTTTTATTAAGGGATTGTGAGCATGGATTCGCCTTTCCTGGAATCCAGTGCTCTCAAAGATTTGTGACTTTCCCAGCCGCTAGCCAGCTCTCTAGAGAAGATCTTTGTTTCCATACAATTTGCAGCCATTTCTTCAGGCAACTTATCCTCTTTTAAATAGAAGCAGCATTTCCAAATTCTCTTCACAGTGGAATAAAAAGCATCCAGGAAGCCATCTCTGGCCAGCAGAATTATGGTGATCTGTGGTAATACGTGACTTAGTCCTAAATGCTTCTTTCTTGGCCATTGACTTTGACTTCTGCAACCCTGGTCAGACATCTGTGCTGCTGAAGAAACGCAGCCCACACTACCTAACTACTGTGGAAAATGAAACCTCGAAAAACGTAATCAGGCAACCTGTTCCTAGTTCCTTTTCCTGTGTTCCCCAACTATGGCGGTGTCTCCTTTTGGTCTACGATTATAGCGTGGTGGTTAGGAGGACTGTGCACCCCCCTGCATGTCTTCTTCATCCCCATGGGTCTGTGAAGTGTCAGGTACCAAATGCTGTTCTGTGGGAGGCTTGTGCCTGCTTCCTCAGCACCCATTCAGAGACAACCCCATGCAGCTGTCCCACCAAAGGGGCTTTCACATCCCCCACGCTGTCTGAATAGACACTTAGAGTTGCTGGTGGTGGTAAAGAATTGGCCCTGCTTGCTGAATATCAGTAAGTGACATTGGCCCCTGCATTATCACTGAGAAATCTTATTTGCTGAACTCTGAGCGCCTTCAGAATATGAAAATAAGGGACTTGCCCAGCGTAGGCTGGGGGCAGCAGCCTTACTGTATATCTTGCCACAGAATCACTTGAAGCTAGAAGCAGAAGGAAGTTTGGTTTAAACACCTGGCTATCATTTGTGACTGAGAGGAAGCTCCATGGAGTGTGATTAACCCTGCTTTAAGAGGTCACTGGACCAGGAATTCCACAAGAGATTTGGATTCCAGTTCTGTAATGGAAAAAACACTGGACCAGAAGGCAAGAGATCTGGATTCCAATTCTGGGGCTGCCACTGTGGTCATCATGCTGTAACCCAGGGGAAATCATTTAACTTCTCTGAGTTTTCTATTCAAAAAGTTAGGACGGGGAAGGAATTCATATCTGTAAAATATCAGTTCTAACATTTTGTGACTACATCTGTAGAATGTGTTCCCATTTGCAAAACAAATACTGTGGCCAGAATGTTTTTCCAGTGACTACCTCGACATCCAGGCCAAGTGCTGTCTGCACCAACACCCGAGCCGTTAACTTGAGGTGCCATAAGGATAGACAGGGACCACGGCTAACACCATGTAGGACTTTGTTTTTTCCAAACTTGCCTCTATTTAAATCCGTTTGGATTAGAGATTTTTTTCCTCCAACTTCTTTCTCTGTAGGTAAGGGTTATTTTGGCACGTGTTGGAAAAAAGATTAGGGCAGATACCCTTAGCTTCTGCAGGGTACACAAGAATGGGGTACGTTTTTCCTTCCCTCTTTAATCTCCAAAGCTGTGGATAGAATTACAATGCTCAGCTATTGGAGAGGACATGAACTTCAAGCCGCTGATTTAGCTGTTTGTAATCTGCCAGTTTTTGCTTGACTAAAGGATGCCGATCCTTTTTGGGAGTCCAATCTGCTTCTAATACGAGAAAGTGCTTTTTATATTCCAGATTTTTTGAATTAAACTGTTGAATTAAAGTGTATGTATGTTTTCACTCTGATTTTTAAAAATTTTGGTTTGTTTCTTTATTCAATAGCTATTTATTGGTAATTTAATACTCTCATATTCAGCTAATATGTGTTAAGAATCTAGTCTGTGCCAGACACTGTACTAAGTAAATAAACACACACTACATCAGTTTTTGTGATCCAGTATTCTTGGGGCCCAGGGTAACACACAGATGAGCAAGAGTCCCTTCAAGGAGCTGATGATCCTGTTGGAGATATGAGACGCAAACCGATTTTGCACATTATCAAGTCAGACTCCCTTCTACTCCTCATCTTTTTGCAAGATTAAGGAGTAGGGTCCCAGAGCACTTGCTGGCTTAGGGTGCCCTTTATTTAAGCAGTGACTAGCTTAAAAGTACCTTTAATCACACTGAGATCATCATCATCAAATTGCCACCCAGCAAGCCTAACTTCTTGCAAAAAAGTTAACTTGGATAACACATGACTAAGTTTTCTGACCAATGCTGCATCCGGTAAGAACTCTTCAGTACTGAAGTCAAAAAACACTAATTGCTTGAGGCTCTCAAGTACACCCATGAAGGCCAGCCAGCCATCACTGCTCACACAGTTGCCCGCCAAATTCAAGTGCTGGAAGTTTTTCAGAGGGTTCATTCCTAAAAATGCACCTGCATAAAGAACGAAATGTGTTAGTTGGAAGTAAAACAATTTTTAAAAAAGAGAAATAGTTCTATATTTTACATACACTCTTTTATCTTGAAATGACTGCGTTTGCATCAGTGCTTTGCTTCAGAAAGAAGTACTCGTTTTCTGTAGCCAGGGCAGTGGTTATGAATATGGTCCATTGTGTTTACAAATTCTGTTTTTCCATGAGTGTAAGAAAATCTGATCAATAGTAATGAATAGAGAGTGGTACAGCAAACACATAAATTAATAACATTTTTTTCCCTTCTAGGAAAGGAAGGCTGCTTAAAAATTGAGGTATGCAACACACTTGCAAATACTCAGTGCTTGTTTTCAAAACTGGAGTCAAACTTTGACAATTTCAGTCATTTCCTCTTCTGGAGAAATAAACACTACCTAACTGTTGTTTCTTTGGGTCTGGAATGATTCTAGCTGTGAACTTGAGTGAGCCTCCCTCGGTCTCTGAAGATGTGAGTGTTTTTATTTGTTTGCTTGTTCACAGCCCTTCTGCCTCTTCAGGAAGTTCCTCCATTCCTCACAGAAGAGGGCGCCCTAAAGTCCCTCCCACAACGGCAAGTGGATATCCTGTCCTGATACACAAAGAGTGCAGGTCTTTTTTCGTGCTTACTCTTTCCTCTGCTACCAGTGTAGATGGCACGGGAGTTCAGGTGAGCCTTGCAATAAGGAGACGTACCAGCCAGGCATAGTACTACGCCTGTAATCCCAGCACTTAAGGAGGCCAAGGCAGGAGGACTGCTTGAGCCCAGGAGTTTGAGACCAGTCTGGGCAACATAACGAGACCTTGAGTCTACAAAAAAGTCGAAAAATTAGCTGGGCATGGTGTAGTCTCAGCTACTCGGGAGACTGAGGTGGGAGGATCACCAGTCTCCCGGGGATCAACCAGGAGGTCAAGGTTGCAGTGGGCCATGATCATGCCACTGCACTCCATCCTGGGCATCAGAGTGAGACCCTGACTCAAAAAAACCCAAAACACTCTACAGAGTGAAGGTGTTAAAAAACAAGTGTCTGGATCTGGAAGCCTTCCTGGACGGCTCATTTCTGGACTGTTCTATGAGAGGGAAGTAGAGTCCTACCTCTATAAGCCATGGGGTGGCTGGGTCTGGCAATGCCGTCGTTGCCTGTGCCAGCCTTCCTGGTCCCTAGGTCCTCACCGTCTTAACTCCTCCCTCGTTCCAGGTGGGCTTTCTCCCGTCTCTGCCTCCAGGCTCTTGTCCTTTCTGCCTTCACCTCTTCCCCATGAGTTTCCCAGCATGCCCTGCTCTCAAAGCCTTGCTTGCCAGCCATGTGTCTATTTTTAAGGCAGAACAGAGTTCATTACCTAAGGAACTTAATTTTTGGCACTCAGGGACACCTGGTGGGTCACTGCCCAGCCACTCGACCACACTTTTTAATGAAATAGTGAAAAACAGATCACTTCATATTAAACAGTGTCGCGTTGGAACTAATTATTGTGATGATATTTGGCTTATAGTGGAATTTTGGACATCAAGGAACTTATGACCAAGAAATCAAAATTTTACATCTTTTTCTAACATGGTAACGAGTGAAACGGTCACTAACATGCATTGCAGATCCATTGATAATGTTGTGTAATAGTAATTTGTTTGCCATCTTCCACCTGATGCTTTTCTATTCAAGCAGACAGTGCGGTCTCGTGTTCTTCCTCCCACATTAATAATATGTAATTTATTGTCCAGTCTGTTGTTTGAAGAAGATGTGGAAGGGCGTGCCTGTGATTCCTGAAAACCATTTCTCAACTGGTCAATCAGAAGCTTGATAAATTTCAAATGGGACATAGGCTTTTTATTTTTTTTTAATGGAAAACTTCAAGGAAACATACATTTTTGAAAAATGTGCACTTGCACAAGTTTGTTCTGCATAGTCACAAACAATCTCCTTATGTCCCCTGAGGGGACATCTGAGTGGTTTGCTTGATTTGTGATGTCTCCTCAGAGGGACATCCGAATGCAAATGGTTAAAGAAGAACTCAAAGCCCATTTCTGGGCTGCTTATATTAAAGCTTATCTGTGAAGGTGTGAGACTCTTCACATCACCAACTCAATGAAAGCTTCTTGGATGATTACTAGGATGTGTGCAAACAAACACAGGACCCGAGAACAGGCAGAATTTTGGGGTCATACCCCAAAAGCGTGCCTTTTGTTCAGTTACCCTGAGAAGAGACTAGGTCTAAGAGAGACAGAATCCTTGACATTTTGAGCTGCTGGCTCGTGGACTGTGGAGAGTGCAGATGGCTTGATTCAAATTCCAGGCAAAAATCTCAAGTGCTCTGGGTAGAAGGTTCTGATCCTTGAGGGTTCTTGTATCCTGGTTCACTGAGGCAGCACTAGGGCTCTTACCATTTATTCATTCAGCAAACATGTTTGTGTGCCTACCGTGTACCACAGATTGTGCTGGGTGCTGGGGATATGTGAAAAGGACAGACGTGGTCCCTGACTCGTTGGGCTCACAACACAGTGTGAAGACAGGGGCTGTCGAGTAACTGCATGGGGGGGTGCTCTGGTAGGTCAGGACACCTGGGGAGCACACCACGGCAAGGGGCTTTCCAGTGCCCCTGTTTCCAGAACACTGGCACCTGGGCTTACATGCTCCAGGAGGAAGATGAGAAACTGAACAGCCCTGAAAAAAGTCCCCGCCAAAGAAAGCCACTGTGCTCGCCTGCTCACCCCACAGTGATGCTCACCATTCAAAAAGCCACCCCTGCCCTCAGATGCACAGGATTCCTTCCTGTCAGCTCGTGGCTTGCTCAGAAGGTGAAGGGACCAGAACAGGATTACCAGCATGGGAGAAGAACCTCCAACAAGGAAATCTGAGACTAGAAACCAAACCAAAAAAGGAACTCCCAATGACATGAGGTGGCACAGGGAACAGGAAAAGACAAACTTCGAGAACCGAATTTTTTCAGACCCTAAAAAGTGACGGCATCCACTTAACAACAATAAAATGCTCCCCCACCCCCCAAAGTACAATTGGAGGTCAAGAAAGAGCTCTTGGAAAACGAGACCATGGCAGCAGGATTCTTGGCAGGATTCATGGCAGAATAATTAGGCCAGGATTTGCCAAAGAGCCTCTGGAACAAGAGCTTGGTGTGAGACAGCTCTCTCTTTGAGAACAGGCTGGATAAGCTTTCAGCCTGAAGTGTTTAGGCTGAAAGGCGCCATTCCACAAAGGGCTTTGTTGGAGCAGGTGACATGGATCCCTAGGAATGACTCTACCTGGCAGTCCCAGAGTGCTGATGGGCAGTCATGAGGAACAAATGGCAGAGCCTTGGGATCAGTGAAAAGGGCCAAGAGCCCAGGACCACCTCTAGGGAGAACTAGGGGGCTTTGCTGTCCAGGTAGAGGACTTGCCCTTGAAAAGGAGACCCAGAGGCAGGAGGGTGGTATGGAGGTCATGGGAATGGAAGGACGCCGCTCAGTGTCAACACACACGGATCGAGTGAGCAAAACCCTTGCGACAAGTGTCTGTCGAATGACGCCACCTGCAGGTATGCAGCTGGGAGGAGCAGGAACAGGAAGTGATTGGGAAGTGGCCACGGACAAGGGGGCGGCCTTTTTTAGAGCTCTCACCTTGAAGGAGACAAGATAGAGTAAGAACCAGAGGAGGAAGATAGAATTCAAACCTTCAGGGAAAGGTTTGAGCAACTTTAAAAGCTGATAGGAGGGCCAGGCTCTGTGGCTCAGCCTGTAATCTCAGCACTTTGGGAGGCTAAGGCGAGTGGATTGCCTGAGCCCGCGGGTTCAAGACCATCCTGGGCAACTTGGCAAGACCTTGTTGCTACAGTAAATCAAAAATTAGCCAGGCGTAGCTAGTTCAAACTACTTGGAAGGCTGAGGCGGAAAGATTGCCAGAGCCCAGCAGGTTGACACTGGGGTGGCCATGTGTGTGCTGCTGCGCTCCACCCTGGGTGACAGAGTGAGACTCCAACTCAAAAAAAAAAAAAAAAGGCTGCTAGGACAGGCATGGTGGCTCAAGCCTGCAATCCCATCACTTTATTAGGTCAAGGTGGGAGGATTGCCTGAGCCCAAGGGTTCAAGACCAGTCTGGGCAACTTGGCAAGACCTTGTTGCTACAGTAAATCAAAAATTAGCCAGGCGTAGCTAGTTCAAACTACTTGGAAGGCTGAGGCGGAAAGATTGCCAGAGCCCAGCAGGTTGACACTGGGGTGGCCATGTGTGTGCTGCTGCGCTCCACCCTGGGTGACAGAGTGAGACTCCAACTCAAAAAAAAAAAAAAAAGGCTGCTAGGACAGGCATGGTGGCTCAAGCCTGCAATCCCATCACTTTATTAGGTCAAGGTGGGAGGATTGCCTGAGCCCAAGGGTTCAAGACCAGTCTGGGCAACTTGGCAAGACCTTGTTGCTACAGTAAATCAAAAATTAGCCAGGCGTAGCTAGTTCAAACTACTTGGAAGGCTGAGGCGGAAAGATTGCCAGAGCCCAGCAGGTTGACACTGGGGTGGCCATGTGTGTGCTGCTGCGCTCCACCCTGGGTGACAGAGTGAGACTCCAACTCAAAAAAAAAAAAAAAAGGCTGCTAGGACAGGCATGGTGGCTCAAGCCTGCAATCCCATCACTTTATTAGGTCAAGGTGGGAGGATTGCCTGAGCCCAAGGGTTCAAGACCAGTCTGGGCAACTTGGCAAGACCTTGTTGCTACAGTAAATCAAAAATTAGCCAGGCGTAGCTAGTTCAAACTACTTGGAAGGCTGAGGCGGAAAGATTGCCAGAGCCCAGCAGGTTGACACTGGGGTGGCCATGTGTGTGCTGCTGCGCTCCACCCTGGGTGACAGAGTGAGACTCCAACTCAAAAAAAAAAAAAAAAGGCTGCTAGGACAGGCATGGTGGCTCAAGCCTGCAATCCCATCACTTTATTAGGTCAAGGTGGGAGGATTGCCTGAGCCCAAGGGTTCAAGACCAGTCTGGGCAACTTGGCAAGACCTTGTTG